ATGAGTTCCACAAAGAAGTACAGCCATACGGCGACGTGCCCAAGGCGTCCCTCACGAAAAAGGCGTAATATGACGCCCGCAAACCTGCGCAGCACGCGCGGATCCAGTGCGCCGAGCATCTCCAGCATCCGCGCAAGGAAGATCTCGTCCGCGTCGAAGTCCGCGGGCCCGATGCACATGTCAATGGAGTCGAGTTGACAGTGAGGGTCTAGTGTCGAGAGTGTTTTTGTCGCCTTTTTCCAGGGGATATTCTTGCTGTTGAAACATCCAGTTCTCAGGACGTCTACTGTACTAGTAGCATGATGAGGATGGACTTCAACGGCAATTGTGAGCCGCTTCATATAGCGTAGGGAGCTCAAGTCCACTGCGAATAATTCAGTATCAAATTTCAATCCACCGTGATGCATATGCCAACAGAGTCACCATGGTACCTTGCATATCTTTACCCCAGTAGTTGCGACTGAAATGAATGTGCTCGGGTGTGGCGTCAAAGCACTTGACCAGCGAGTTCCCTGACGACTATACTCCGCAGCACCAGTCAGTCGATATACGGCAGGGAACTGTGTGGCCGGTCGATATCGTCTTCAACAGAGAGACCACCGATATCCAGCAACCGAAGCTCGGCGAGAGACGAAAACTGGTTCAGCAAATCACACAGAGACGGGAGCTCAGCTTATGGCGTTATCTCAGAACTTGTAGTGCGCAGTGACTCGACCTCCCCATGGGTCGCATCGGGGACCTCAAATCCCTCTGCGAGGGCTTCGAAGCACTCTTTTGTCAACTCTCCAACTGGCAGACATGCAGGTGCCGCTTCGGCTCAGTGGATATATACATCTTTCTGCAGCCGCACGAAACTTGAACCCCGGAGGTTATCCGGGACAACTGGAAGCCCCGGGCCGCAGCGGGATACATGTCCAAATTCTACGAAGCAGGTGTGCTTCATGTCGAAGACCCACTCACTCAAACGCATCCCCAATACATACCCAGATACCAGGGTCTATTCTAGACCAAGATTATTGCAGGCACCCATAGTCGATTCTCAAGCCTCCGCACCATTCGTGCTCGAACATGTCCCATTAATCCCAGCATTTCAGGCAATCCACGCAGCAATATGACGTTAGCTGTCCATATATTGCATGGCTCTAGTCGGAATGTACTTTTTACGATGAGCGACTTGTATACCACGTCAATGAAGGCGCTGTAGCAGCTGTAGTGGTTGCGTCAATGTGGGACAACAACGATCTGTACAATTGCCACTCACATATTGGACCTCGATATCTGTAGTGATATCAATCAGCTCCTTGAACAGCTTTGCGGCTGCGTTCTGCAAGTTGTTTGCAAACGCGTCCGAGACCGAGGCCCCCGAAGTCACCCAAGCTTGCGCAAATGCATCGGCGGCAGCTGACGCTTGACTGAGCACGCCAGCTTCTTGCGTGGTGTTTGTCACCAAGGCACGAATCCCCGCGCCATCCTGCGCTTCGATGAGGGATGTGAAGCCGGTGACGTTCGCTGCGTATTTGGTCTCTGCCACGATTTTGCCAATGTGTGCGCTAGATCTGGATTTAGCATAAAACCTCGAAGGAGTATGGGTCTAACTCGCCGATGAGATAACAGGGCGAGAAGAGTCCTATCAAGGCTGAGTACAGCATCATCATCAACTGTGGAGTTATCCAAGTGAAAATAGAATGAAGTCGAACGGTTGAAGAGCGATACGAGTGTGTCCAAGTAGAACGAGGTGATGCTGGGGTTGCCGCTGTACGAGTCTTGATGAAAGCGTCCCGGCGGGAACGCATTCTCCTTCGACGTCTTGTCCGGCACGATGAGCGGTAGCGTGAACGGGTACTCAAGCTTGCCATAGTCGTATCGTCCAGTAGCCGCGCTAATGATTTCCTGCTGCGATATAAAATGTCGTAGTTTGGAGCCATTGTTGGCATACAGCGAGGGGTCGGAGGCGAGGTTGAATCGCTCTGTAAGAACGCTTGGCACCTGCGTTCGTCAAACGTATGTTAAGATTCGCAGGGATCACGTACCTAATGATAGGTGCTTCAATCTGGGCGAGGATGTTCTATGAGTGGCATTGCTTTCCTTGTCAGAGAGTCGGGTACGACTAAAAGTGAACTCTGCAGGCATACCCTAATTTGTGGGAGCCCTGGAACAGGAAGTATAGGTCTGCTGGCACCGTGCACCATGACAGTCCCAAAAGCCAGCACGGAGAGCACAAAGACGGAAAGTGAGATGAATCTGACCATCTGAGCTGCAATCACCGTTCGGGTTTATGGCTTCGTGGCAGTCGGGATGCGACTTGGAGAAAGCCCCCGTGACCGCGCGTAGTCGTAAGTTGCATCACCGTAATTTCCATGGCCGCGGCCGGGATGCTCTAAGCCTGAGGGTCCGAAGGCAGGAAATCAATCATTCTGGACCCTGCCAGTGGTTCCGTGCCAAATGCCAGTGAAGAGAGCGTAGGACAGTTTTGGTTCTGTAGCAAATCCAAACACTAACATGCTGCAGAGCCCGTTTAGCTCAGTGGTAGAGCGCGCCACTCGTATTGCTTCGTTATGGTGAGGTCGGTTGTTCAATCCAGCCAATGGGCATTTTTTCCTCTACTCCTGCGACGTGCGAGATAGTTGCACTATTTGAGCTTACGAAGATTTTGTAGTGGCATTGATTAATCCCTGATCTTGCGTGAAGCTGTCAACTTACTCGTGAGCTGCGTGAGCGCACCCAGGGCCCACGCAGACCGATAGATGCTCCGCAGCCCGCCTCAGACATCGTACTATCAGACATATCTGTACTTTCTGGCCCCCAGGATATGTCACGGCCTTGTAATTTGCCACCTATTGGGTATCTGAGCCTTCGAGTTCGGGCGCAACAGCGCAGACAATCTCGAAAAAGGCCAACGGCGGGCACACGGCACTCCCGATCAGTTTCTTGCACTTCGCACCACATGTTCGCGACGTTGTCTGCAAGCTTCGCCTGAGCTTAATGTCGCGGACAGTGGAAGACGACAAGGCGTGCCATGCCGCAAGGATCGTTGCCATGTTCCCCATCTCCGAACCCTCCACATCCCCAAGTCCACCTGCTACCACGTCTCATTCAAATCATTTTCTACGTGCCTAGAGCTCCAGATCGGCGTTGGTCTGGATTTATCAGTACTCAGGAGGGTAGCTTCAGAAAAATCAAACACAACGATGCCGTTGAGGGCTGTTACCCGAGTGGTTGATCACGGCCACGCATGAGTGCGGCCGCCATACACCGTCCACGTTGGGCTCCTATTGGGCACCCATAGAATTGGATGACTGGGGTTTCAAACTTGTTTCTTTCGCATGCAGGGTCAGAGAAGGATTGTTCACAGTGTCCACATGCGCGACGCGTACATTGTAAACGATATAGAGTTACATACAAAGAATAATATTTCCTGTCAATCAATTGACAATACGCTTGTTTCTCAAGAAAATAGGTGTTTAAAAGATGTGGAAGGTTGTAGCGTATTGCTTAAAGAAAATTTTGAGATCATCGCAAGTGAGCGGTGAAATGACCTGCGGCTCCTCAACTGGTTCCTTTCCCCTCATGGTCCGCCACCACCCCAGGTTGTCAGAATTCGGTGCAGGATACTGCTCTTTCACGGCTGGGACTAGCTTGGGGAGAAGCTCCAGGAGCTGTTCGTCGACGCATCGGAGCTCCACCAGTTGACGTGCACCACTTGTCGTGTCCCACTCTTTCGTAGCCGACCTACTCCGCAAGATAGCGCCTGGATTGAGACGTCCGAACTCTTCTTGGAATAGCCTTACAACCTCTTTCCGTAGTTCATCTTTCTCTGGTAGTTCCAGTGCGTTTCGATAAGCTCTGCGGAATAGGACATACTCCGCAACCCAGACCACAGATTCGAGATCATGATGAGTGGCGTGGGGAACTGGGACGTAACCCTGCTTCTTATGCCTGACGCAGTTCTCCAGCATTGCAATCGCCATGAACTGAAGGGTACCCTGTCGAGGAATATAAATGAGTGATAAACGTATTTTTTGGAAGAATTATTCACCGTCATTTCTGGACCCTGCCTATCATCGACCTCCTCGTGCCAGCTAGTAGTGCGCATCACCGTGACAGCTGGGGGAACTTTTCTCTCCTTAGGCATCTGAACGACTGGTACCTGTATAGGGATGCTGTTAGGCACTAACCGTGACTGAGGGGGTATCTTTGCTAATTCAAAATCAGTGAGGAATGCTTCATACCCTGGACGTGGGTCCACAGACAGAAGAATATTCCCAGCACTGATGTCGCGATGCTGTATGTTGTGCTGTTGTAATGTGCGAATACCTGTTGGGAACAACATGTTTGTCAGCAGTTGTAAGCACAGCAAAACGGGACCGTACCCTCGACTATGGCCAGCAATGCACGTAGGAAATGAGCTGGATCGTCATATTCCCACAGAGGCTTCCCGACAGAGTTGAGCACAACTCGATGGAGAATGATGTCCTTGGGGATGCGGGCTTGCGTGGGGCGTAGCGCATTAACAGACAAAGGAAGCTCACGCCCGCCGGTCAAGGCATGTACCACGTCTTGGCCGTTGCGGAATGAAGCGATGCCTTGTGTGCCCGTTATGCCACGTTGATCCATGTACTTGTAAATCTCAGCCTCTCCCTTGCGATCCTGATGGCGCCATGCAGACTTGAGAATTAAAAGCCGAGTTGGGTCGGCATCCAGCGCTTGTACTCGCCACACAACAGTTCCTCTACCGAGGAGGGAGTAGGACCTCCAGATGGGACGCCCAATTGTGCGCCAGCTGTCACACGGCGGAGTGTGCGGTGTGAACCCGACAGTGTAGGAAGGAACGGTGGTGAGGTCCGCATTGGGAGAGGATGTAACGGTAGGATCGAGGCCTAGTTCGTGCTCTGTGAGCGAGCACGAAAGAAGGTGTGCGACACGAATAAAATCGCTCGTAACGCCATCGTCGTCGAAAACCTTCATCTGAGGGCTGTGCATGACACCACCACGATCAAATACGGACACCGTGAAGTCGGATGCGAATATGACGATACCGATAGAGAAGAGCTGGAACGGCCGGCAGGACATGTGTAATCTCGCGTAGTCCGCAGCTTGCGACACCACTGGTTTAGGTGTGAACGGATCGAGACCGGAAGGGGCACTTCTAGCGTGGTAGGGTCCCGCGTTCGAATGCCTCTTCACCTCGATGAAGCAAAGAGCATCGTGCCACGCGCTTCTTTTTGAATGACGAGCTGCTGCCTTCCCGCTCTGAGACAACGCAACTTGAGGGCTTCCGACGTCCAGTACAAGATCGGGTTTGATGAGGGTGAACGCAGGACATCCGTCTTCGTAGGAAATCTTGTCGGCGTGTGCATCCCTGAAGTACCGAGACGCATTGGAGCCAGTGGCGACTGTATTGAGTATGCAAAGCTATACATTCGTGAGCATCTCGTCTATGATCAGTGTCAGATGAATATGCTTCGTACCAGATGTGGATACATCTGTCTTTCTAGATGTTTCTCCTTCCCGTCTGCGTTCGACATCGAATCTGCGGCTGAGCTGCACAGCAGGTTCTTCAGTCCTTGTACTGCATTCTTGACAGCGTCGTCATTAGATAGACGTTTTCGGTGCCGTTCGACGGAAGTGAATGAAAGTCTGTCTGCCTTCAGGTAATGCTCAACAGTTGGAGCGTTCAAAATTTCTTTTCCAATCAGATCGAGACGGAGTATGTCGCGCGTAGTCGCAACACTGGTCTGCGTTACGTGTGCCCCGGTAATAGGCATCGAAGGGCGTTGGGGAGATGGGTTGGACATGATGGGAATGTGGCGACAGGAAAGGAGTGGGCGTTGGTCGAACAAAAAAGCCCGGTGAGCTGAGATGATATGCTAGCCGTTCATAACAAAGGCAAACCTCGGAATAGTGATCATGAAAGCTTGACCCCGAACTGGTAGAGCTCCAATGTTCTTCCATTGTCGATAATTCAACCCTTAGCTGATGGCTGATCAGTACAAGCGGTCGGCTCAAAAGAGTAGAATCCCCACACGGACACCTGTGATCAAGAACTTCAGGTGCACTTCGCCAGAGTGTTCGAATTCAGACGCGCCCTCCCGGATACAACAGCCTGTGTGTTGATTAGGTATCGATATAAAGCAACGTTTTGAGGTCACTGTTACCGCGTGTCAATATCAAGAGATCAACCAGCTACAACCTGCCAGACCAGTGGCGCCGTATATGTCCCCAGTAATCCGATGCCACGATACGAGCTGGGAGAGGGGACACACCATGGCCAATTCAACAACTACCGAATAGAGAGGCGTGACACCATTGTGACATATGTGACTGCAACGCCGTAAGTTGATATCTGTGACACTACTGTGACAGTGATACTGTGGCGTTGGAATCCCTAAATTCAGCTTTCGTACATATTTCCTCTTGAAATGTTGAGGTCTCGCTCTCTACGCCAAACCGCCTCGTCCTCTGAAGCTCTCCCAGAACATGCAGATCACCCGCAACCCGCCCTTTCCTCCGAAAAACCAAATGGCTCTTGTCGTGTCAGTCTGATTCGCGCGCCGCCGGCTGTAAAAACTCCAAACTGGTCCTGTCGTAGAATCTTGCGGTATCTGCTTGCGTCTTTATTTCTTGTCTCCTGCTGGCTGTCCTTCCCTCGTCTCCTCAAAGTTTTAGGTCCCAACTCTGTTGAAGTCGCGTCCCAATCTGCGCAGCCTATCCTCCAAGTTTTCAGCGACCTCAAACACAGGATATCGTCAGCGAAATTTGCCGCGTCTCCTCCTGTAGCCAGTAGTATGCAGCAACATTCTCCTGACCAGCAATATCATGGGGCGCTCGAGCCGGAACGACCCAAGGTGACCAAGGACTCGCCACCACTACGCTGGCCTCCTATGATCACCGCTGTTCCCGAGGTGCCACCCTCCTCGGACGCAACTCGTGTAGGAGTCACCAACTCTGCCATCGATTCTCAATTCTGCTCCGGAGGACAGCAGTGCCGTATACTTCTTCCTCTTTGGATCGGCGAGCAAGAATCTCGTGGGCGCATGCACCTGACACAGCTCGTTCAACTCGCTGCCTCGCTCAACCGCACGTTCGTCCTTCCTAACGTCGGCAAGAGCCGCCTGGGTACATGCGGCAAATGGTCATTCGAGGCGTACTATAATACTGGCAGCATCGCGAAGCAGCTCAAGGAAGTCAGCGGCGGCACCGGGCGCGTCATGCTCATGGACGACTTCAGGACCTGGCTCGACATGCGCCCCGACAGTCCGTCAGGACAAATGGTATTCTTCCAGGAAGACCTGTCTCTGACTCCCGAAGGTACCCTCCTTGCCAGCGATGAAGGACTGAGTCTCTTCGTCGACCATGCACCTCTGCAACTCGCTGACGGTCGCCTGAAGAACGCCTACTGCATGAAAACTAAGTACCGCGGACTGAGCCTGAACGAGTACCATCCGCTCTCGCTGTACTTGACCGCACCGGATCCCATCTTCCCTGCTGCGACTGCATCTGGCGATGTTCTGTCTAGTCTGCTCAAGCAATCATATACGGCGCAGCAGTCTCTCGAGAACACCTCCGCTGCCATCTCCGAACCAGACGTTCT